CCGTCCTCGTCACGGCCCGAAGAAGAGGTGGCGAGATGTGGTGTCGAGTCGACTGACCTGGCGGACCTCGGCGTGACCACCTGGCTTGAGAGTTGCCAAGATCGTCCCGGCTGGAGACGAGTTGCGAGTAGCACCCCACCTCCACGGCCCGCTCCTGATCCTCTTCTATGTGTCTGTGGACGCCCATTTCATCGACCAGGAAACCTGAAACGACATGCCAAGTTCTGCGCTCGTGTTCTCACTTGAACTTTCCGACATTCGCTATCATTGCGTACGCAATGGGAAAGATCAAGGTCAAGGTCAAGGTGTGTGTGCGCGCATGTGTGTGTGTGTGTACATGGTGTGTTTTTTTTTTTTTTTTTTGACAGTGAGGAAAATGTTATCAACTCCAAAGCACGAAAAAGGCCAAAAACTAAACCAAGAACATATGCAATAACATGTTATTTATAAAGACAGGACAAGTGAATAATTAGTCAGTCCATTGTTCATGATGATCTCCGACGGTTACGTCGGCAAGCGAGCCTCCGCCACTGCCAAAGCAGCGTGGGCTCCGCAGGAGGGTGCAAATTTCAAACCAAAATTTAAACGCCTACAACCGCGAATGCACATGATACAGGATTTCAGAAGGCTGAAGGAAATCCTGCATCTAACAAATGCCATAACATGAGAGTAATGCTCACCCCTCTTCTCCGCCAACAGATGAGCAATTCGTTTGTACAGTGCTGTTGATGCTGGACCCATTCCGCCACTGGCTGACATGACCGCCGGAACAAAGGAGGCTTGCTCAACCTGCCTCACCCGCTCCTCATAGTGCCTTCTCTTTTCTTTTTCATGTCGCTGATACACAATAGTATGTGGTGCAGATCGATTTGAGCGTGAGTGAGGATTAAAAACCCGTATATCAATAAGTGTACGCTCAAAACGACTGCCCCACAAACCATTGGCAGCGACATCCAACCGGGCACGGTCTTCCACATTTGCGGTCCGGTAGCGAAGACGCTCCCCCGTCAGCGGTTGCAGCAAGGGCTCGATGGACACACTGGTGCACACCTCGTCCAGCAGCCGGGCCGTGACGTCCCGAATACCATTGTGTCTAATGGAGGGAAACCCTCCATAGGGGCACGACAGGGAATGCGCGACAGTTGCCTCTTGGCCGCAAGAGCAGTGTGACGGTACCCTGGCCGGTGTCCATCCGTAACGGAGGCAGAGTCCGTCCCAAAACTCTCCCTTTGTTAAATTAAAATGATATTTCTTAAGTGGACGGCACGTCAGCCAGCTCGACGACCCTTTCTCCTTCGCGACGTCTATGACATGTCGTAGCGACTCCGACGCACTGCCCGATATCGCGTCGAATTCCAGTTTCTGATGACGTCGAGAAGATGCCTTGGCGTCTCTCTTGGCCGATCTGATTAACACTACCGAGTCACCGATGGAGCCATCCCCTGACAAGATTCTCCGAGACAAAGGGTTGGTCATCCGAACCGACGAGTCGTATTGTTGGCATAGGGACACAGGGTTAATCAAACCGAGCCCACCCAGACGACACGGCAAAGCCATAAGCCGTCGGAGGGTGTCGCCTGGGGGTGCACGGCAAGTTAAGGCGGGAATCAGTTCAGACTTCACAATGTCCTCCAGCGGTTGGAACATGGGTTCGGGTACCTTCATGGTACGACAGAGGAACGCCCATCTACCCCTGAGGCCCGTCACATACGCAGAATACGCAGCCTGCGGCTGGGTTTGTGCAAATACTGCTAGCTTCTTCAGTTCCCCCATCCATTCGTCCACCTTTGTTTTGATATAGCTTTGAAGAAAGCTGTCCCTTCCGATTGCTGCGCCAAGATATCGTGATCCCTCGTCCGTTATCATTACACCAGTGTCTCGAAACAATTCAGTCGCCTCCTGGTAACACCTTTCCTTGACGACAAGGACCGATTTCTTTGGGTTTACGTAATATCCATATGCCGGTCCTCTCTTGTCCATTATGTCCCACCATAGACGGAGTCTGCGAAGACGAGCAGCAGCGGATGAATCGTCCGCGAACCATGACTGCACCGCACCCGCCTCATCCGCCAAACGTATCAAGGGCATTATTCCCAACGCGTACATGTACATTGCAAGGGGATCACCCTGTGTTGTCCCTTCTTGCGACAGGATACTTTCACCGTCCACGTAGAGATGAGCTGGATCACGGTAGGTATTAATAAGAACGGTAGCAAGTGATGGACACAAGTGCCGAACATTTCTTAAGCAAGTCTGTCGATTTAGTCTGTTGAACGCATTACTTGCATCCGCCATCAGAATTCCTTCGGTGTCATCCAGCTCAAAGGCCTGCTGCATCGCATGTATTCCCGCCTCTATACCGCAATCCTGGCCAGCGCATAGCTGTATACACCCAACCGCCTCCTGAACGGCTTGGCCTACGACGGAGAGGATGGCCTTGCTTATAATGCGTCGAGCGACCTCACCTATTCCAATCGGCCGGACACCGGGTTGCTTGTCCAACGCTATCAATCTGCACGCAGTGAAAGCCGACAAAGATGCTGGGTGCACGTACGTGGAGGCTAAACGCCTTGCACACGATGCTAGTGCATCGCAAAGGCCCTGGGAGGCGTCAGAGAAACTAGCGCAAAAATGCCTCCAGTTCTCGGCGTCAACACCACTCGGCCCCGCAGCACCCTGCGTACCGAGCGCTGCACTCTTAATCGACTGACGTCCAAGGCTGCTGAAATAGATCGGATGAGGTGGAGCAGGTGGATCACCACCAATAACGGCGTCCTCGCTCATCGGCTCTGCGGGTGGATGTTTGTCTTTCAGGATATCCCGGACAGTGCGTCCGTCAATCTCGTCGTCCAACTGATGCACGCCTCCATCATCACCGCTTGTCAAGCCACGGAGCGCCTTGCCCACTTTGCCCGCGGTGACATAATCTGCAAAACGCCTAGCAGGGTCAACCGACGGACCCACTGAATCACGTTTATGTTTGTTCTTGGACGATAGAAGAGAGGTCTGTATGGTGTCCGCTTCCCGTTGCAGCTCTGCAAAATCTCCCTTCGACCACTGGTCCATGCGGCGCTCAAGTATTTTACCATATTTATTATTGTCACAGTCCGGCTTCTGCAGCATTAGCATCTGGTAGACGGCTGCAATCTTGAGTGCGATCATTTCATACGATCCCCCATCTCCGAAGCAGGAATAGAACGATGTCAAGGTAGTGATAAATCGTCTTCCAATATTTCCAGACGGCACAGAGAAAGCATTCGGGCGAAAGTGAACACATTTGTTATATGCAGCCTCTATGGCTCCAGCTGTCTCCGCTGCAGACAAATCACCAAGCCTGAACGACGGGTCGGAGCTAGCTATGGGTTCCGGCTGGGGCAGATCCAAGCCGGTCCGGACATCAGCTAAGCCCTGCACACGCAAGGTCGACATAGCGGTATTCACTTCAACAGCATCCCCGGACGTGTGCCCCCTGGTCTCCCGGGAAGCAGAGTGTAAGTCACTTGTGGCTGGTACCGAATTACCACGCACAGGTCCCCCAGGCAAGGACCCGGTGTCATACACGCCCGGCGAGCATACCGGAGCAAAAGTGTCGACAGCGGAATGCGGATCAACCGCTTCCTGTCCATCAGGTAAGTTGGTATCAGCTCCGGTTTTAAAGGGTTCAATTTGTTTGTCATTTCTAGTATTGTCCATTTCACCATTGTCAGCTACCGGTAAAGACCGTGCATCGAGGCTCCTTTCCAGCCGGCCAGCAGAAGAGAGAATGAGATCGCCCGACACTGGTTCATGTCCAGGTAGAACCGGCACTGGGCAAGCAGGAATACCCCGCCGCTGTGCCAAGCTGGAGTCAGCACCTCCCAAGGAACCACGAACCACTGTGGTACAGTCGCTTGGTCCATTGGAGTGCGCCGCCATCGGCACAAGACCTCTATCATCAGCTCGAGGTGGATGCGGATTGCGACATTTCCCATCCATCATTGGCCTGCAGTTTGTACAGGGCTGCTTGAGGCCGCAGCATCTACAGTCTCTGCACAGGTCACCGTTTGCAGCGCAGCGACAGCACCCCACCTGTCCGCTGTGGCCCTTCGCTCGCTCCCGCTGGCGTACACGGCTGCGCAGCGCGTCTACTTCACGTCTTGACGCTTCCTGCGCCCATACAGATTGGATATCGACATCGTCTTCCATCACGCGTGTACGGTCTGGACACCGCCGTGGCACCTGTGACCATTACACGGTACGGGCTGAATCCGAATGCAGAGTCACAACTCCATGGTGCTTCGAGAGGGAAAGTGATTCCGTAAAAAGAAATATCGAGGAAAACAACGAGATTCCAAGACCTCCAGCAAGTCCTTCATGCTATGGGAGAGTAAACTCCCCGAACAACTCCGTTCGTAGGCGCAGTATGCCCTAGTGCACTGGAAAAGTCGAAAACTCGAAGAAATTCCTCCAAGAAATTCCTCCAATATCAGAGCCCAGAAACGCTCAACCGCTCGCCACGAAGCCAAGTAGTACTACTTAGTAGTACATGGTGTGTGCGCGTGCGCGTGCGTGCGTCTGGGATGGTTGTGTGCGGGGGGGGGGGGGGGGGGGCTGGCTGTAGGTAGGACTGGTGACTAATGGTGGCCATCTGCGCAGGAAGTAGTGCGTGTGTGTGCCCAGCTTGAGACATCCTCTATGCGTCACCGGGTCCACAAGGGACTAACTACTGAGTACTATTGGAATCTTGGACAAAGTAGTCGCCCTGACCATTCCTGAATGCCCGTAGGAGCACAATACAATCCAATGGTGTCTATCCTTTGGGAATTTAGTATGACAGCTCGGCGGTAGATGTACGTTTGAAGACACATGTACCAGGTGTAGCTGGGATGTAGCAGTGTGCAGTTCTGGATCTGCACACTCGGTCTTCATGCTCGACTGCCAACTCGTGAATGATGCGGACAAAAGCGCTACAAGAAGGATGCGGGTTTCAGGGAACACCACTAGCACTGTGTTCGCAGATTTGCATTGCTATCAGCCCCGGCTTAGGTCCATCTACCCTGAGACTGTGAGAGCTAGAGGCGAGAGGGGAGCTGCTCAGCCAGGTGGTTACCTGTTCACTCTAATGATGATCACAACTGAAACGTAGGATCTAGAAATGCCTGAAATGTACTGATTTCACGCGTGGAGATTTCGTTTGCAGATCTGTTATCAGCATACTGTCTGGTGTAGCTTTTCGTGTTGCTGGAGTGGAGCCCGGAGGAACGCCACAATACTAAACACTTGTTTCCTACTTTTGGGTGGACGAAGCTCAATGCAGACTTCACAAGTCATGTAGGTTTCCGTGTGCGAAGAGGCGACACGCAGCCATGGCCACATGGGCAGTGAACGTTCTCGCCCTCGTCCAGCGCTGCTAGATTAGTACTCGTAGCGGTACTCGAGCTAAGACCGCGAACAGCCTCACATCCTTCGCAGGAGGACGCACTGATTGACTGCAGCTCTATGCTGTTCAACTACCGGTAGATTAGCGGAAAGATTACCCGCAAAGAACTCTTGGTTGGCATGCAAAACAGCGGCAAGAGACCATCATCGGAGTACACTCGTCGTCATCGCCTTGAAAGGCGCTGTGGGATTGGCCGACCACTGAACAGTCGGGGGGAGTCTGAGGGAGGCTGGATTACAAGGTTGCCGACAAACATCAGGGAGTAGACTACATGTACTCGAAAGATTTTCCTGATTTCCTGAGCCGGTGGCCGCTTGAGTTGCTTATAAAAGTAAAGACAAAGTGTGTATAGTCATCTATCTCCGGCGCATGGCATCTGATCCAGGCGTTCAACAAGTATTCCGACAAAAATACCTGGACTTGGTCTGCTTACTAACCCAACTACTGGCCACTGCTTTGGAGTTTGACTGAGACTCATCCGGAGAGATCGGCGACATTTCGTTTGGCCTGTGTGCAACGATGGGATTCCCACTACTGCTGCATTCATATAAACATCCTGCAGCTACACGTAAAATGGGACGGTGGTATCAATCAGGGATTGCCGGGGTGAGTAGAGAGTTCTATAACTACTGTGGATTTTACGTGATAGTTGACAGCGGCGGAGAAACTGCTGCTGCTGCTGGTGGTGCCACGTCAGAGATGGTCCTGATTTGCCTCTACATGTATTTGCCCCAGCTACACACATCACCCCCCCCCACACACACACACACACGCACGCGCACACACACACACACACACACACACACACACACACACACAGACACTCACACACACACACACACACACACACACACACACACACACACACACACACACAGACACACACATACACACACACACACGGTAGGGTCTTTCTTAGCGCCCACACCAACACCGTGGCCCAGAACACACACAATTCCCCGATTTTGATTCTCAATATTCTCGTGGCTGTTCCATGCAGAAAATGGCAATTCTGACCAAAAAAGCATGCAAGCCAATAGCACTGCATATGTTCCTCCTTCCCCCGCCATACATGCAATTCTAGGGTCCTGCATACATGTATGTAGAGGGTGTACTAGAACTAGTATTATCAGAGGCTGGGTGCCATTCCTGCTAATGTCCGGGGTAAACAGGCGCGTGCGCCGGTGCCCTTCAAGGGGGGGGGGGTTCCGGGGCCTCCCCCAGGGAAATTTTTCTGAAGCAAAATCCTGCATTTTGAGCGGAAAAAAAAGGGGGTTCCGGGCACCCAGGAACCCATACGGGGCACGCGCCTGGTAAATCATGAGAGGTATCATCTGGGATAGTGTGGCTAGAATACAGTAGTCTATGTGCACTGTGACCTTCTAAAATGCATGTTCATGCATGATGTATTTTATGGATGACATGAGGGGAACTCCCATATACATTGTACATCACTCTGCATAGTCACTGCCAATAATTAAGTAGCATTATAATAGCGGAGGGGTTGTCATAGCAAGTCGTGAAGTGAACATGCATGGTCAGTATGTCAAGAATAGGAGTGGGGATGAACTATCATCATCTTGACCCCATAGTGACCCCATAGTGACCCCAGTTGTGACCCCAGTTGTGTAGACTTGACTAGGGATGTACACTGATTATGTACAGTAGTAACAAGTCACTGAATCAATGACATGATTGGGATGCCCTCTTTTCACAACTTACTTGCGAAACACCACCGTGACCCAGTCATGGTGTTCACTTTGTAGAAGCCCTGCATCACTTGCAGATAAGCATTGCATGGTAGATCTATGGATAAGCACCATGCATACGCTGATGTAAGGTGCCCGGCCCATACCCAGTGAACAAGGAAGTGAGAGGGAGAGACAGACACAATAGGACAGATAGATGGATATAATGGCTAGTTAGGTAGGCAGGTAGGTAGATAGATAGTGATATTGAGGGGGGGGGGGGTATGAGTGTTGCGAAGCGGCGAGAATTCGAACAGCGGAGTCTTATCAAGCAATTTACCATTTTAGCATACTAATGCTGAAAAGAGGCAATTTTCCCTGCTTTCAGTAGACATTCATTAGACAGTTGAGAACGTCATTGGTCTATTGTGAATTGCTGAATAGGGGTAGTTTTTCCTGGTTCATTGAGGTAGTCTGGAGCTAGTCTAAGATACAATCTGGCAAGTAAACTGATTGGACTGGGTCACAGGTGTTTGTCATGGGCAACTCGTGGTAAATTGTGATGGGTTGTATCGGTGGTTGAACGCAGCCAAAGCTGCACATTGTCACGCGGCGACATACATGTGTGTCACTGCTCGCCGCTTGAATTAATATTGCAGAGCCTACACTTCTCGAAAACGTATAAGATTGGTGATGGCGTGCATTCATACATGTTTGTACCGAATACAATTCTGACTTAGATGCTTTGTGCTGCCATATTAAATTATGCCGCTTGTTGTTCAATAGGTTAGGCGGTGATTGGTTCAGCCAGTCACTCTGATGAGACCTAAGAAGAGGGGAGGAAAAGCTAGCCATCCAGGGAATGTATACAGGGCCGGCGGAACCGGTCAGGCTAGTCCGGCCATGGCCGGACCACTTTCCCAGCTGGATGGTCCATGCGATTCATGCAAAACCGGTGTAAAAAAACCCAGAGGTACATGACTCGACTGCCGACGTGTGATGTGCTTCGAAGTAGCTCAGGACTCCTTGACCGGCACTGTATGGCTGATATGGATCAAAAAAAGTTGTGTTTGTGTTCTTTTACTATAATTTTCTGCATTTTCTGGAGGCTTAGAGATGCCCAAATTCGCTCTATTTCACGTAAATTTTAAATATTTCTCCCGGGGGAGGTCCCTCGGACCCCCCCCCCCCCCTCAAAGGTTCGCCGGACCACTCCCAAACTCCTTCCTCCGGCCCTGGTATATGTGTCGCTAACAATAAGCTGTATCTATCACTATGTGTTTGTGCACTAGGCTTTGAAGCTATTACTGACAGCGGTTCTTCTGCCATTGATTGAGGCAACTACAATGTCTGCTTCTTCCACATGCCCGCATGCCAATGACATTGTGCTGCGCTCGGATATGGAAAGATTTATAAGCAACAAGAAGCTGTCGCCGAGAATTAATCTATCCCAGTGTGGCTGCCATTATGGTATGCTGTGTGTCTGTGGTCCTGACGCATGCAAGGGGAGCTGCCCGGAGCAGTGCACAGGACGGTGTCCACCTGACAGACCATTTCCAAGGTATACCGATCGCAGTCAAGGAGAAGCGTGCAGAGCCATTGATCTTTTCAACCACACTGACGCACAGTGCTCATCATGCTGCGGACCACTTGACTGCGCTGAGGACGAGTACCAGTTCATGTGCCTTTGCTTGCCAAAGAGTGTACGACCGAGAAGTTTGGATAATCTAACAGGTCAGTGTTCAACGTCCAATGAACTTTCTGCAGACCGATGTTATTTCATGTTGTTGTTTAGGGCTGTGCAGTAACCCTCATGTTCCAAAGTACTGGATGGTACATTGAAAGGGCTGCATACACACACAGCCTCCACGGCACTTTGAGCATCCTTTGCACACTAGCCTAGTAGTAGGTGCATTCTTCAAGGGAAGGGTTACATAATTATGATGTATTCCCTGGAGATCAGATGCACGTTAAATCACATCTGGATCATACTTTAAAAGTGTGTAGACCTGAGGATCACCCTCCCCTCACCTCGACTTGGTTGTGCACTCTCTTTCTGGTAAGCGTCAAAGCTACCTGCCCTTCAAGGCTTGTGCAAAAAAACCCTCGCTGTATTTCTCACAGTCAGGGCACTCTGGCGTTGATGCTTTCAGCCGGTCAAAACAATGCTGTTTTCGGTTCACTGGACTTCACTGGCCAACACTGCATACGTACATGTATGTTCTAGTGCATGTATGTTCTAGTATAATGATAAAGAAGCCTTGCTTGGTGCTAGTTTAACATGTTTTTCGATTTTGAATGGTCGCAAGACCGGGACTCTGCCAACCGGGTTATGGTTGTAGTCAGGAGCACTACGCGTCCTCGCCTTGTAACATGCTGTCAAAATCGAAAAACATGTACGTTCTACTACGTCTCAGATACTCCTACTGTACCAACTGCAGTTGCAGATACATTTTATAACCTACTACTTCTGGGGCTATATCAGTAGTCCTTCTTTCAAAAATAGGACAGTTCTTGTTGTAATACATCCTTCTCTGTACATGTGTGTGTATGTGTGTATGTGTGCTGAATGTTGATTCCTTTAGAGTCTCCTTTCTCCTCTCCCGGGGAGACGCACGTGACCAGTTTTGGCAGTGAGCAAGTACAGTATGTGTGTGTGTGTGTGTGTGTGTGTGTGTGTGTGTGTGTATGTGTGTGTGTGTGTATGTGTGTATGTGTGTGTGTGTGTGTGTGTGTGTGTGTGTGTGTGTGTGTGTGTGTGTGCCGTGTTACTATTATAGCTTTCATGGCTGAGGTTGTTGGTATGTCTGTTGGCTCTGGGTTCTCAGTACTCAGTAGCCGAGGCTGGTTGGTAACATAACTCCAATTTCACTTCAAGGTAGCAGTGCATCTAGTGTCTGCTTCTATTCAATTAGCATGCTGTCTATACTGGTTACCCCAGCAAGTGTAGGGCCATGGTGTGCATAGATAACTATCTTGGCCATTCCATGCCGATGTACTCCGTGCGGTGTAGACCAAGTGTGCATTGGTGGTCGATTCACATGGCTCCGCAGGTTGTGTGGATTGGACAGTTATCTGGCGCTAGTCTTGATCTGTCTCATTCAGATCGTGTCCGTTATCGTTGCTACAAGAGAAAATCTGTGGGTGCACATCCAATGCATTTGCAGATCTGCGTGTGTGCGTACGCACATACATTCATGTATGTGTACAATATGTTGCTGGCGCTCGTGATTTTCCTATGCACAAGAATTGTTTGAAAGTTGCATGTACGACATCACGTCTGCTTGCGATGATGATACCCACGGTTTTCTAGATCAAATGCCAGTTTTACTGTGTGCCATGCCCTGTAGTGTTGTCATGGATACCACCAACAGCCAAGCCACCCGTTGCATCCGAACCACCTAGCACATTGCCCAATGGTCGCTCGGTTACCAATGTGCCGGCTATAGCTATTCTGTGCACACTGTTAGCTGTGTTTGCTGCTGTGGGCTGCACGGTGTGCGTTGTTCGCCACTGGTGCCGGAAACCAAGTAAGTTGTTATTGTATATCTAACTGCTTTTCATTGAATGCCGCACTTCGCTGGTGTATGCCACCGCATGGACATGCACATGCCGGTTGTGTGGACATGCCATGGAGCATGTCATCATCGAACAAAAGAAGATAGTTGAGCTCGAATAATGAGGCAGTATTAAACGTAAAATAGAAGAAGAAAAGACATGAGAACGAGCTATGAAGCAACAACTGTATCCACGGCTTTGTTGCTGTGGGACTTAGCTTGTGCACATTTCCGCTGCGCTCACCTTCCCCTCTTTTGTCCTACCTAACTTTAAACCTTCCAAGTTGGAAGGTTGTTGGTTTGCACACTGGAGATGTGTTAGAGCTAGGTGTTAGGTCATTGAATGTCTCTGTAGCCTGTCAGTTTTGTGCCCTGCTATCGCACATTCTAACTGCTCATTATCTTGTTACAGTCGTGGATAGTTGCTTCATAACACGTTCCCATGTGTTTTCTTCTTCTATTTTAAAAGAAGATAGTGCTATTAATTTTCATGTTGTCCTCATCTATCCCATGTCGCATTCTGTAATGTGGCCTACTTTGCAGTCTTGAGATGATCCGACATGCTTTTAAAGTGCTTGTGAACACTTTCATGAAGTGTCCCCGTTCAGCAGAGTTGCTCTGAGTACCTTCAGAAGTATCCGATTTACGTGATTGATGTGGCTAACCAGTGTGATCATCTGAGGCATTGCCCATTGTTACCATGTCAGTCTGATGTGCTGGTTAGTGTACTGCACGTGGTCATGTGACAAGTGTGAAGTAACTGTGCTATTTTCAAACAGGGGATCCGATGAGCAAGCACCATAACATTGTGCCGCCCAAGCCTAGCTGTGCCTATGATCGACATGGTAACCTCATATTTGTACGGCCGACCGCACTACCACGCTTCTTCACCTGTGATGCCGCAGCGGATGATAGCACACTTGAATGCATTCTGGCGGAAATCGGGGCCGAGCGCCACAGATTGTCGACATCACAAGAATCTCTAACTCCACATGAACATACTCGTACACGTCGGCCTTCCCTTGCATGGCTGTAGGCTGTTCGGATATCTTTCTCATTGCAATTTGAAACTTGGAGACAAATAGTATTGGGCAATGCTGTACACGGTTGACTATGAACAAAGCAATCCAGTCAGGAACGCTTACCTCTATAATCCTATGGCTAGTACTGATTTCTTTGATTTCTTTTAATTAAAGACATGTTTTTTAGGCCTATCAACACAGAGAAATGATTCAGCTCGCGTTACATCCGATGCTGAAATGTTTACATTTACTAATTAGTACATGTAGCGGTTACTCGACGAAAATCTCACCTGTGAGACGAATACATCTGTGTTACGGTATGTTTCAACACTCTTTGCATCTCAGTGTACATTTTTTTTAAGTACTTGAAGGAAGACTCATTCACACCATACCTTGATACATGAATTGGATAATTATAGTAGCAAACTAATATATTATTAGTGAGTCAAAATCAAATCCAAAATAGTGTTTGATAAGTATGTTACTCTCACGATCACAAAACATGCAAGAGGACCAATGGAAATTTTAAAAGGTCAAGTACATGTATGAGTCATCCGAGTTCAATGTCTCCGTTGGATCAAGGTGTGCGTGCTGGCCACAAGTGACGTCATCGGGCAATGCCATCTGCATACTATCTCTCTGACATAATGTGGCAATGCAGCAAGTTGAGTCCTCAAATCCATGCTCGAAATATAATGGAAAGAAGATGGGACTGTCAAGGACATACAGTCATGTAGTTGCCAGCAATGGACAATTTCCTTCACAAGCCGCTGACCTTGCAACATCTCCAATTCTCAATGTAAAGACCAGATACAAGTACTGGTAGCAGTACAGGGTACATGAACTCGCTGGAAAATGAATCCAGGTGTACATAAGCCGGAGACGTGTACTGTCATGCAAGCTCAGTATTTGTGCATGATGAGGTCATCACAGCCTGTGCGTGGATTGGTGTGTTCCCCAGACGAGAGAGTTGAAATCCGTCAATAGTGGAAAACTCCGAAGACGAATGCAACGCCAAAGAGAGTTTCCTAGCATGTCACACGCAGTAGAGAGTGATGTGCATACAATGCTTCAGTGCTATGCCATGTACACGTTTGTACATTGTACACCTCAATGTGCGTTGAAAACTGAGTACAGGACAATGTCCGGTGGGACTTACGTAAAGTGAGGCTAAGATGTTGGTGATATTCACTGTAGGTTTTGCTTACAAGCAAGGAATTGGCTGCATGCCCTATCATGAAATGTAACTTGTGGAATGTTACCATTTTCTCCTATAGTATCATAGAGGCTACATCATCGGTTGAGATGCTTTTGTTGACGTCGCGGCACAGCGCTGCACTAAGTCTTGCACTAGCAACTCATGCTGCATACATAGCCTAGAAAATCCGCTGACTCGCGCTGTATATTAAGCACCCATTCGAAAATCCGCCCATGAAATCATTCGCATAACCTCTATACCAGGACGAGCTTCTTACACCAAGCAAAGCCGGCGTGAACTTCATAGCTAATATGTCTCATATGTCTTACCCCAAGGAAGGCTTCCTGTGCCATATTGTCTGTATCTGAATCCCACAAGCAGCGACTCCCTATTCTGTAACACGAAAAAGGTAGAAAGGAATATTAGATTGCCAAGAATTGTCATCAGAGGAAACACCTACCTCCAGCATCAACGGTCCTTAAAAAAAAAAAAAAAATTCACGGTTCATGTGAGACTCGGCCAAAGGCCCAGTTTCCGCATCCGCAGGAACGCCACCACCCTCTTGGATCAAGGCGCAGATGCAGCTCCTAAGGGCCGGGTTCCACTGCGGCTCCGCTGCCCCGCTGCTCGTCTTTCGCGGCTTGAAACGTCATCATTACCATAGTGACCGCGGCTCGAGCTGGAGCAGCGAGTCCGCGGCTCACCGCGAGCTTTTGCTACGATTCTTGACCAAAAACTGCGAGCCGCAGTCGCGGCTCGACCTGTTTCCCGTACTTTGCATTGTTTTGTACGCCAGAATTTTAAAATTCAAATTTTAATTATTCATTGCGCAGGCCAAAACACGAGGATTTGTTTGATTTCGCGCGCGCGCGCGCGCGCGCGCAGGCAGGTGAAACATCATCAAAAAGTGTGGACCACGACCGCGGTACCGCGAATGGCGAGTCACAGTGGAACCGCGCTGCTCCGCTGCATGCAGCCAAGTGCCGCGGAGCCGCGGAGCCGCAGTGGAACCCGGCCCTAAGCGGTGGGAGGTGAGTAGATCAGACCCCCCCCCACAAGTGGTCAAAGACCGAAATCCCATTCACTGCATCCATGTTTCCCTCGTGCCAGGCCACGAGTTCCCAATTAACTGTGGGGCGCAGCACGGCTGGAAAAAATCCTTCCGCTTCCAAGCAGGACTTGAACCTGGTACCCTCTGTTTCTCAATCATGGTCTTAGACCATCCCACTATGCCTGCCTTAAAAATAATTATCATTAAAAATATAATATATTTTTATATTTTATTCTACGATGGCGAGGCGGCAATAAATAAAGTCCTTGTACCTGACAACATGTTAGAACTGCAAACACCTAATTTGGGAATGCTTTATAATGCACTGTGAAACCTGCGCCCGATGTCTACTCATTTGCCACAGGTACCGGTACTTTGCCTTTCTTTTCTGCATTGTTTCAGCCGGGGGGGGGGGGGGGGGGGGGCAATTTCTCATTATGTTGTCCGTGTGTATATTTGTGACCTCTACTAGGGTTTATCGGGTGTTAGCGGCCGTCGTGAGTTCCCTTCGGGAACGGATACGATAATTTACTTTTTTTTTTTTTTAACTTTACGAGGTCCCCTTTTGGCGCTGCGTCCGAGCGGACTCAGTGTGCAGGTTGCGCCACTGCACGCATGCGCCTTTAACCCCCCCCCCCCCCCAATACTGTACACACTCTTGTCCTTCTTGTTGCTTTTACCTGAAACTCTCCTTGGAGCTAAGTTGAATCCGTTCCGTCAGTGTCCTGAGGTGTGTGATGATTGTGTGAACGTGAGAGTCGGAGAAGCCCATCGTCTGGACACCCCCCCCCCCCCCCCCCCCCGGCGACAACTATATTGTTTCGCATAAAGGCCTGATTTCTGAACCCGTAGTGTAGCACACTATGGCTGTGCGGTTATAATCCAGTACATCTGCTTCCATCGGCAATGGTAGCATGATATAATTATAATCATCCCCTCCACAATGATCGTAACAGAATTCTACGCATGTGGATGAGAATTGCCTCCCCAGCGAAAGTCAGGCACCCAACCCCACATGGATCCCTTGCGGGTGTAAATAATCTTCAGCCACACTGGGAATCGAACCCATAACCTCACGTTTGGAAGGTCAATGCCCTAGCCACTTGGCCAACTATGTGCTTGAGCATAGTATCCTAGCAATGAGGAGGAATGCACCTTTCGGCAAATTTCAGAAATTAGGTTACCGTATTTCAATGCCTTACTTGATCCCCTGTCCTCTCTGTTCTCCAACAATCACCTGCACCACGTACTTGTACCGATCAAGTTCCAGATCTGGACACAGGATTATCAACAACAAGGGCAACACAGTCAACAACACACAATGGGATAGCAATGATAACAACAGTGACAACGACGACGATGACAGTGATGACGATGACAATGACGACAACAAGAAGATGGGTGCGAGCATGGCTTTAGTGCACGGAAGTGTGATAAAAGGACCAAGAGCAACCACTATTGACCAGATTTGATGTGCACAAAGCAGGTACAAAGTAGCCCCCCCCCCCACAGCTACCCTCATCACATCTATAGCTACTTAGATGTATACTTCTTCCAGAAACAAGAACTTCATGACGTTTTCTATTCATATGAGGAGTTACTGTGCTCAGATGAATTGGTTTAGTGGAAAAAATACAGTTCAAGACAACGAGTTGACAATTGACATACTTCCTTGAAGTGCTAGCACAGAGACTATAATTGACAGGTTGATCCAAATCACAGATTTTTTTGTTTCTTGAGGAAGAGAAGAAGTTCATGTTACCTTTTAGCCGTTGGCGAATAAGATCAGCCGCTTTCTGGCTCCATTCTTTGGCATCCTCAGCAGTGTACTCCTTGTCGCTAAGCTCCTCGTACAGAACAGTTCTCAGTATATCCTTGATTGCAGCGGGGCGAAACCTTCGAATGCGGTCAATCACAACAATCACCAAAGTACAAGTATGACATGCATGTACCCGTCACAAAGTTTCATATTACTGACCACTGAGGTGGTCGGTTGTACTGCTGGGGACATTGAAATCCGGTGGATTGACCGGGGCCTGCGTCCTTACTGCCATAGCGTGTACACACTGTCGTCCACACTGTGAAAATGGACCAGCAGTGCTCACGGCTGCAAGGCCAGCGCCCCAAGGCTGCTTGACTTCTCAACGGATATCAATGTCCACAACAGTACGTGCATCCTTCACAACCGCGGCTATACACTAATGGTATGGTATGGGTGTGCAGTTTAAAGACAACCCAAGCAGCATGTATTCTATACTACTTGCAAGTAGAGGGATTGAGATACCACTCGACCTGAATGCGAACACGTGTGTCTGTGCCCTCAGGTCAAGAAATCACGCAGGCTACACAATTATTTCGTAATCAGAAACCGTAAGGTATGCACTTGGAAGTGTGTGTGTGTGTGTGTGTGTGTGTGTGTGTGTGTGTGTGTGTGTGTGTGTGTGCGCGCGCGCGTTTGCGAGCCAACCTACACAAGCCTACAAAATAAAATCATCAACACGTGTGAGATGTGCTTTGCTGTTGATTAGGGGTGAAACGATTAGTTCGAATATTCGAGTAATTGCTCGAAAAATTCAAACGAGCGAGTACTCGAAAGTTTGCACTCGATGGTTTTTTTTGTATTGGCATTCTATTTTTCAAAAGTTTCTGTTGTACCGCTCGTCCCCTGGTGTGCATGCATGTCTTTGAGTCAGTGTTTTATGACTTGGACGATGCGATCACCACGGCAAGTAACGTTAGTTAGTTGTGAGATATGAAAATCTGATGAAAATCGTTACTTTACACTCTGTACAAGACGTTGGCGACTTTTGTTCTACGTTCACAGATACTTTCTTCCGAATTGGTCGAAAACTCACGAATCTAGCGCTTTTGAATTTTGATAAATACTCAAAATAATCGGATACTTGATCGAATGTTGTGAATGAGTGATCGATTGGTCAAAATAGATACTCGTTTCACCCCTACTGTTGATGTAGGGCTTTCCGTAACATGCATGCGATCACAATGTCGGATGAATGACAAAAATGCAAGAAAAGCGCCAAAAACTACCCAGGCATGGCCCGACATGCGTGAGGCCTCACACGTGTGTGGTTTCAGGTACCGCGTCTTGTGTGGCTGGACCTTGTGGGGAGTTTACCGCCTACACACGTCCGCCCGATGCGTGTGAAGTGCATCTTAACCTCTCTACTGGCAACCCTTTCCCGTTCTAAGCAACCATTACCTTGGACTTGGTGCCTGGCTTGGGATATCAGGCTAGTCAACATGCTCTGCTCACCATGGCTAGCTCAAACTGGCACACTACATGTACATGTATTACACGTGTATTACACGTGTATTACAGACTACAGTGGGTTGATCTATGCCTGTACTACAGCTATGCTCAATGAGCTATCCAATCGCATGAAGAAGTTAGCGTCCTGCATAATCCTGCACCTGTGTACAGGAGTGTGCGCACTGGGTCCGTGACTGCACACCACCCAGCGATCACACTCGTGATGTCAGGATTTAGGCACTATTTCCTTTGACGCGCATGACTATAGAATATCACAGCGCATGGTCTTGTCAGTCTCATAACATTAAAAAAATCCTGGGCAAGTTCACTATAAGTGCAGCTATGGTGGGCATGCTGCTGCTGCAGCTGCTAATGCTACTCACTTGAGGTGGAAGTTAGGTCGTATTGTGTAGGTGTTCCGTGTTGTGGAACTGTCGTCGACCACTTTCCTGGCATCTGCTTCACCTGCAGCTCCAGCCGCCCTGGATGATTCAAGACTCCCACCACTGCTTTCTGCATCACTACTGCTAGCACTCATTGCTGCCACTCAGTTACCGATCTATTTCAGGATTCAGGAGTCAGTCACTTTGAATGAAATATCGATAATGGTGGGATACTGAGTCAGTTACAATTTGAGACGGTCTAGTACAGCAGTCATCAATCAGTTCTTGGCCCTGGGTCGCACTAACTCAGTAATACTAGCCAAGGAGCAAGAAACTCCCTGATGAGAATTCCTCCAGCTCTGCAAGATCGACAGGAATGCAATCATAAACAGTTACTACAGCGTATTGCTGGTATCTTCAGTGCTGTGCCCAGTCAGCCGCTATGCGTCGTTTCTCCCTCTCTCGGCTGTCCCCGGGCTTGGGGAAATAGCGAAGACTAAAAAGTGAAGCATGAAGCCTTGGTTACTTGAAGGAGGCAGAGGCGCAGATCAAACGTTCAAAGCAAAGACTGGTGCACACCCCGGAACACAGAGCACAGGCACTTGTAAAGTAGTAATACTAATAAGTAATAGTAATAGTATCTTCCTGATGCCAGCTTCGCATTCATCACTACGCGCGAGGGCAGCTTGCTTCTTGTCTTCAGTACGTAGATCTACTTGCATGCTAGCCGCGCAACAGGCACCAAGGCAACGACTGCCACGACTGCGACATAACCATGATAACACTGCGCTCTGTCTACATGTAGTCTAGATCTGCAAGTGCAACGAAACGTTTGCACATGTGCGTGTGTGTATGTGTGTGTGCGTGTGTGGTGTGTGGTGTGTATGTCCTACTTCAGAAGTATATTTCAATAGACACGCACTTGCTAGCACAGTCCAAGCTTTGCCAAGTCTCTTCTGAAGTTCGGGGCATCTTGTTAGTCCAAGTTTGTTTCATTCTTATGGTCCGACCGTAAAGAGTAAAAATAGCTATGAAAAGTAATGAGCAGTCAGATACAGCTGTTGGGCAGAGATACACGATAAAAATAAGGAACATTGCTTGGAAATCAGCGGAGAGGAATAGCTATGAATTACATCAGTAGCGCCACCTTCATAAACACGGAGCGCTGACCTGCCATAACGGATCCGAGTTCAGTCTTTACCAACAGGCAGCGGGCGTATGCAGAGTTGAATGCTGGAAATAGTACTGCATCCAAATGCATCCTTATCACCACTATTCATTTCGTCAGTGCTGAAAATTGAAGGTAGTGTTGCGATGTCCCTGCTGCTGCTACTGCACTGGAACAAATAATTAGGAAGCATGGCTTGAACAGCCACAGCAGGGAAGCTGAAATATATCATGGTATAATAGCTAGAGCAGAGTACATGACTGTACATGTACAGAGAATGAGTGGAACACACAGTGATACGAAATAAAGATATAGAAAATACAAAAAAGAAAAGAAAAAACGAGGACATCCAAGTAGTGAGGTCAGGATCACTGGACAGATAGCAAACACGACTAGCATTGGAACTAAGAACCAAACGCACACAGCTATCAGGGTGCACAGCAGCCTGAGTCAACATAATGACGCTTCCTAGAAAGAGTGTTGGCACCTGCTAGTGTCCAACTCCACTTAATGACCTTGCAAAGAGGGACATCAGTGCCATGTTATAGTCCCCTCCGGACTCTTGCAAAGCAGCTATTGCGTCCTGGCGTGAGAATCCCATCCCTTGCAGCTGACTCACACTGGCTTCGTTCACACCAGGCGCAGGCGACAGTGCAGCAGCGTTGGCAGGGGAGAGTGCAGCCTGCGGGGACACGGGTTGCTCAGCTGCACTGGTCAATGCTCCACCAGGCTGAGCCCCCTGTGCCTGCTGCTGTTGCTGGCTAGCTGATTCGGCCAACGTCGCGGCCAGCTCAGCATCCGATGCATCCGACATGGTACGGGCCATGGTCAGCCTCGCATCACTTGGTAGGTCTTTCTCAGCTAGGAATGGCGTTTCAGTGCCAGTGGTGCCAATGTGTAACACATTCTTGCGTAGATCGATGCAGCACTGTATGATAACAGCAGACATTACGCAAACCAGTGAAGATGATGTGAATGCTGCCGATGCCACCTACACATAATGTAGTACTCCTCTTGACCGGACTATCAACTAGGTCAATATAGTGCTTGCAGGAATACTAGAAATACATCAGCTATAATGTGCTATTTCTTTTGGGGACAGCTCACTTTCTGCCAGCAAGTTTCTGAAATCATGATTTGAAGCACCTGTTCCGGATAGCAATGCCCTTTGGTGCAGGGCCCCAGTGGCCATCCCGCATAAATGGAATTCGTAGCAGTCAATGCACTAGTACGGGATATCTTCGTATTCCACGCTGCTAACTGCTGAATGCTTGAGCGGTGCCATACACCTGGGCTGCACTCATGCACACCGCCACTCTTTTCCGCAACAGTGCAGCAGAACCGTGGCTGAGTTACAGACGTCCAACAGTGCAGCAGAACCGTTGCTGAGTTACAGACGCCCAACAGTGCAGCAGAACCGTTGCTGAGTTACAGACATCCAACAACATGGGTTTCATTCAATTACCAGTAGAGGTACATCACCAAACTGATAGGACATGCTCTAAAAACCACTTCCTATGATAGGAAGCAACGTCACTTTAAAACAAACATACACATGATGCAGCACTGTACCTGGTGCCGCTTCAACATGTCCAAACCGATCAGTAGGTCCATGGTCTGCTCCTCGAGTATTGAGAACGACGCCTGCAGGAAGTCATCTTCTATTTGGATCTGTGCCAGGTGCACCCGGCCAAGGATCTTCTGCGTGCCAACACCGCGCGCGATGCCCGCATACCGGCCGTCCATCAGTCGCATGATGTTGCATCGCTCGGCACACGCCTTGCTCACGATGGTCATCTGAGCACCGGAATCGACGAATGCCTTTACAGCCACTCCGTTCACCTTACACTTGACGTAGAGCATAACCACCTGAGCAAGGGCATCATCATAAACACGTGAAAAAAAGAATAGTTTGTCGAAAAACAATGCAGTGCAAATAGCACAAGGCAGCACAGTCACACGATGCACCACTGAGGCGGATGCTATGTGTGTTTCGCGCAACTTTATTCTTGTAAAATGAAACAGGTTTTTTTGGCCAGTGAATCCCTATTTTCATTTTTTCATTCTTTTTTTACACACACACATCACACCATATACTCCGGAATGCAATGGCTGTTGGCAACTACCCAGGAGAATGAAAGGAGAAAGAGAAGAAGAAAGAGAACATGTGTGCGACCATAATCGTCGGGAATTGAAAACCTCTCCATTGGAAATCGAGAGGTTGCGGCTTCACACACACAGACAGACAGACACATCCACCCTGGTACAGTGTGTACAGAAATATTGGATGCAATGTTCTCTTGCACATACCTGACCGAATGCTTCCGGGTTATGTTCCATGGCGGTCCGCATGTTTGCCTCGACGTTCTCCATTCGAATCCTTTCCGCAATAGCTTCTTGTGCTTGACTGTCAAACGGGTCCGCAGCCAGCAGTCGTATTCTCTCCACGTTCTGCTCAGCAATGAAAGCACGCTGCCGCTGTAGTTCTTCCTTCCACTTCTCAGGATCTCCGCTAACCAATGCTTGGTAAAGCGATGGGTTATTTTCTGACAATAGCTGTGCTTGTACGGGATCATCAAGCAGCTTCTGACGCAGTACCATCGGGTCTTCTTCATCACTGGGTGCAGCCCGAGTTGGCGCTCCCTGTGTCCGTGGTGACCTGTTACTGGGATTACTACCAGCCACACTCACACTTGACCAGTCAATGTTCGGTAGCATGGCACCTGATGGCGGAGCCCCCACACCAACACCAGCACTATTGCCATGTGGAACACCAGAAGGACCAGCAGCAGCGCCAGCGGCTGACACAGGCGGATTAGGATGAGGTGCACTAATCCCTGACCCACTGGCAGTAGTACTGCTTGTACTTATCGTTATCAACCCCCCATCTACAAGGCCATAGTCATCCAACGTTCTTTCATCGTCAGCAAGAGGGGTTTGCTGGAATGTCAAGATCATGGAATCGGCCGAAGTACCTGTCACAGCCTCCAGCAGTGCTTTGACATTCATTATTTCCATGTCCGGAGCTACGTCCAGCTCCTGGGCGCTATCGGTCTCCAATGATACCACAGTTAGCTTCATGGTCGAAAATCTTCCAAAAATTCAAATGAAATACTGTAGTGCGAGAAACACTCAGAGAAGAAAATCAGCCGAGCTCGAGAGGCAGCGATCGATCCACTGTTCCACAACTAGGAGCAATCCTCAGGGTAGCTCAATGTTAGAATGGGCAAGAATCTACAGATAACGCGATCAAAATGAGCTTTGCTCAGCTACTTATCTATCAGTTTTCGTTCTTCATGTCAGACAGAAAAGACAGAACAGAGAACTACACTGGGGTCTTTTCTACAAGCACCTGGAAAGAACGATTCGAATTTTTGGTTGTTTGAAATCTTAGTAGATCTTACACCAAGAGTACATGGTTTTCATGTACTCTTGCTTACACGTACCACGTACCAGTGTAGATCTACCAGCACCGCGTACGCGCGTAGATCCGCGCGTACCGGAACGCGCGGTACGGTCCGGTGCACCCGGTACCGCGGCCCGCGCGCTTGGCACGTGGGTGCACTTATAACAATTTAATACACAAAATGATTTTATTTGTGGCGCGAAATGCAAACTGGGCCATGCATGCATATGCGCATGGGGCGGTACGAATATTGCGGGAACCACACAAGCCACAGCACAGGCATGGCCCACGCCCAGCGCTGATCGATCAACAAAACTTTCTTCGCGAATATCGAATCAGCGCTTGCTTCTTTCTGTTTTTGATCTTTGAGCTTGAGTGATATCTTGCTCATGTGATTTTAGATTTGTTAGATTGTTCACCTGCTCACTGCATGATTGAGGTCTTTCAGCTTTGATTATGATAATGCTGGTCGTGGATGTTACTTCATCCACTGGCTCTAGATGTGTGTAGACTTGAACATTTTTGAACATTTTGTTAGTATAATTTCCATTCATTGACTTCTACAACTTGCTTAGGCCAGTTATGGATATCTCCGCCAGCCAACCCATTGGTTCTGTCAAAATGGGCTCGAAAGCTAATAAGCCCCCTGTCCCTGTACAGTCAACAGGACCAGCTAGACGCAATATGAACCGAGTGGAAAAGCCCAGTGAAGAGCAAGAAGAAATCAGCAAAATGGCGGCACAAGGTGTAGCAGAAACGTTGAGGTACAGGACTGCCTCCCACCATGTAGCCTGCCATTGTAGAAAAGTACACTGCAGGATAATTTCAGACTTATTTGTGGTGAAATTAATAATATTGATCGTGTATGATAGTCAAATGTCGCTTGCTAAAGTAGATGCTGTGTTGAGGCCCAAAATTCAATTTTGTCATTTCCCCAGGCCCAGGGCCAGTGGCTAGTCTACATGTTTGCAGGGGCGTAGGAGGGGTTTTGGAAGTGGTACGGCCGAAGGCCGTGTTGGAGGGGGGTCCGGGGGACCTCCCCCGGGAAAATTTTGTAAAAAAGACACAAAATCCTGCGTTCTGGGAACTTCTGGCACACTTCTACGTGTACGTAACGACGGTAGTGTGCAGTCGAGTCGAGTACAGTACTCAGTAGGGTCTACGACTACAGATGCATAACAGATCTACGAGTCTAGAAAAAGGTCAAAGTCTGATGCGCATATATGCATGCCATCGATGGATCCTGATTTTTTATTACGGTTTTGCACGTTTCGGACGGACCACACTTTTCGAAAAGTGGTACGGCCATGGCCGTACCAGTCGTAGCGGGTGCTACGCCCCTGGTTTGCATGTACAGTACTCTCAGAATCACTCCAGTGCACGTAGATCGATTTCTATCTGGTACTGGGAATAGTACTGCACACACACACACACACACACACACACACACACACACACACACACCTCACACACACACACACACACACACACACACACACACACACACACACACACACACACACACATGCACACACACACACACACACACACACATACACACACACACACACCTCACACACATACACACCTCACACACACACACACACACACACACACACACACACACACCTCACACACACACACACACCTCACACACACACACACACACACACACACACACACACACACACACACACACACACACACATGCACACACACACACACACACACACACACATACACACACACACACACACACACCTCACACACACACTCACACACACACACACACACACACACACACACACACACACACACACCTCACACACACACACACACACACACACACACACACACACACACACACACACACACACACACACACACACACACACACAAATGCACACACACACATACACACACACACACCTCACACACACACTCACACACACACACACACACACACCTCACACACACACACACACACACACACACACACACACACACACACACACACACACACCTCACACCCCCCCCCCCCCACACACACACACACACACACCTCACACACACACACACACACACACACACAAACACACACACTGGGTAGGTACAGGGTCAGTTATGTTCATGGCTCGTCACTTCATTGTGCCCATGAAAGCATTCCTTGAAATCGAAAACAAAAATTGTTGACTGTCAGAGACAACTCCTCTCAGTGCTAAATCAGCTTCAATCTTGACACTTTGATCAGCAGGGAGCTTCATAAGGAAATTGTGAAGCGCAGTCTTGAGATCCTGTTGCTCAGCAATCCTAACAGTCACGTGCTATATGACAACCGGTATGCTTTCTTTCGCTCTGCTTTGGCACCAGATGTGCAAGTTTGTACCTGTGTGTGTTTTTCATTTACTGTCAACTGGGAAACGATTGTGCCGGTTGAAGTTCTTGATTGGCGAGCACAGACCAATTATTTGCACCTGGAAATGGGTGCGATTGGAGTCAATGTCTTTAGTCTTTTTTAATTTTACAGTTCTACGTTTCGCGCGGCTTACCTTTTGCGACTTCGCACCCATCGTGAAAACCGCAAAGGATTCCAGAGCGCTAACTTAAGGTTTCCTGTTTACAGTAATACAACACATCACCATATAGTGAGAACATTAGGCAGGGAAGAGATTGGGTGTTGGACAACCACACCAGGGAAGAGAAGGGGAAAACATATGTTGATGATAGTAGTGTGGAGAATAGCGTGATTGCATGCATTTATATATGCTTGTCCCAGCTTGGTCTGCATCCAAATAGGTGCTGGAACAATTTGTTGTTGGACTTCTGGATTTTTGATGAAATCAGAAATAGATTTTACCCCTGTCAGTTGCATGCTGTTTCCATCTCTCTCTCTCTCTCTCTCTCTCTCTCTCTCTCTCTCTCTCTCTCTCTCTCTCTCTCTCTCTCTCTCTCTCTCTCTCTCTCTCTCTCTCTCTCTCTCTCTCTCTCTCTCTCTCTCTCTCTCTCTCTTCCATCTTCAGCCGTGAAGTGTTTTCATCGTACAGCAACAGCCTCCCAGCTATACCCCATGCCTGCCCTCACCCCGGGAAGATTGTGGAGGCAGCTTCGCTTGCTGTAAGGCATGATGAGGTTATGGTGTGTGTGTACAGTGTGTGGACAGTGTATATGTTCTGCGATGACCTGTGTTGAACTGACCAAGCACTATGTATGTCATACAGTAGTGATGTGATAGCAAGAGTTAACTTTGGGTTCAGTGGCATTTCTATTCAAGGATTTATCGCCCTGCCCGTGCAGGAGGCTTAAAAATATTGTGTGTGTATCTCAGGGCCTGCTGGAGAGCCGGGTCAGCCGGGTCACGCGCCCGGCTGGGGAACTGCACGACCTGGCTGAACAGATAACACCGGGTCCAGTCTGACCTGGCTGAAAAATGTCTCAAACTGACAATGGATTCCTAAAATACCGGTATTTTACGACTCGCGGACCCCATCTGTTGCAAATCTAGCGCAATCGTACACACTACACTAGTCTACAAGCGACAGAAACTCGGCTAGGGTCAACTGGGGTCAACTGGTTCGAGCGCGATCTGGCCAGCGGCCGGCGAGCAGGAAGTCAGGACATTCAAAGTCGATGGGGCCGGGGGCAGGCAGTCAAAAGCGGCGCGAAGAGAAAAAGAACTCACGCTTTATCGTTTACCTTCTATCTACGTTTGTGGACTTTGATAGTTCGCCTTGTTCTCTAAAATTTCCGATTTCCGGTAATAAATCCGCCTTTCTGTTTTCCTGCGTTTTGAGCAGGCTTTTTGGTTTGTTTTTCTGCCGGATGATCTGACCCGGCTTGACCCGGCTGGCCTACATGCGCCAGGTACACTTTGACCGGGCTGTGTTGAATGTCTAGAGCAGGCCCTGTATCTGTGTGTGTTTGTATGTACAGTAGGTATCGGTTATAGCGTGGGTGTTTGAAAAACGACTTTCTATTCTTATTTCCGATATTTCTTACACACGATAAATATAGTGTGACGTATCATATGCATGTGCGCGTAGCCAGGAAGATCATCATACATGCAACGTAGTGCTACTGTGTATACGGTTGCTCATACTTCCAAAGTAGTCCCAAACTGGGCCATAGCCTATTAGGTTCACCATGTGGCTGAGCAACATGAGTTACATGACCACAACAGATGCACTTGCAGCATTATGATGCAATTCGAGTCGGCTCAGAACTGTATCGGGCAGATGTTATTACTACAGGCAATACACTTTGTACTAATCTGGCATGTTTTGCTACACAAAGTCCATTCTTAGGACCGATATATTCTATTACACGATAACATTGCTTGTAAGAATAAATATACACATGAAACCCATGTTATGATTATGAAAATAGGAGAGTTCATTCTTGTAGGCAGTATATTCTTTTACATGACCACACTATAACCGATACGCACTGTATATATGTATGTGTGTGTATGTATGTGTGTGTGTATCTGTGTATCTGTGTGTGTGTCTATGTGTGCGTCTGTGTGTGTCTTGTGCCAGCTAGTTCGGTTGGTGGGTGCACTTATGCCAGATAGTGTTGGGTCTGTTGCCAACGGGCTCGGCTCTTGAAGGTGTATTGTTGTACCTACCACCTTTGTTGGTTTCAGGGTTCATATACTTTCTACTTCAAGTATACATACCTGTTAACCATGGACTGCTTCTGGCTAGATTAACTTTTGTGTAATCAATGGTGCTAGTGAAGCTTATTCCCGTAGCTATGCAGAAGACGTTACTTCAGTAACGTCTGGCGCTAGCCAGGGTCCACACTGCTTTAATTTGGTGTTTGTTTGTGTCACGCCTGGCGCTATCCCGTATCTGTCCCGTACCGTACCGTACCATCAAACACAGCTGGCCACATACAGCTGGCCGCAATATTCAAATAGGGCTTTCAAACGCAAGATCATAACGTGAAGCAACTTGGAAGAATGAGTACGAATGCAAAGTGTATGTGGGAATGCATGTGGGGCGATAGTGCGGGTTCGAACCCCAGGTAATGCTTGAAAAAAATAGGAGAATTGAAAAATTTATAACATCCCTTTTCTTTTTTTTGCCGTCATCAAGGCGGTAGACGGTGTCGTATTACCCTCGACCGTACCTGTCCCATGCCTGTCCCGTACCTATCCCGTACCGTACATTCAAAGACGGCTGGCCACAATGCATATTCAAATAGGGCTTTCAAATACAAGATCATAACGTGAAGCAACTTAGAAGAATTAGTATGTATGCAAAGTGTATTGGGGGATGCATGCAGGGCGATAGTGCGGGTTCGAATCCCAGGTTATGTCTAAAAACAAAAAGTAGAAACTTATAAGAATTTATAAGGGGCCGTCCGGGGTTACTGATTGTTTTTACAAAACGAAAAGTTTTAGTATTTTTCAGCCCCCACCCACCCACCCACCTTTTCTGCAGGTAAAACGAATTGCAATAAAATATTGATGTCAATTTTCGACATCCAGAAGTAACTGGGCATTCTCCATAAGCATTCAATAATTATTTTCAAAACGAAACTCCATCAAACCCACCCACCCACAAACGAAAACATTTCGTTTTGAAAATATTATTGGTAACCTTGGACGGCCCCTAACATCCCTATGCTTTTTTTATCTAGGTCATCAAGGCAAAAAAGCATAGCGAGGGCCCTGAGCTTCCAAGCTCTCTCGTATCAGATCCACTCTGATTTAGCCACCCACACTAGTAGCAAGTATACCTTCACTGGGGCAGGGGTAACTGCAGTTGGATCCCGGGACGGATACCCTGATGCCGTCAATCCTTTTTCCGCACCTTGTCCACACCCAGGGCCACTTACTGAGGTGTGGTGAGCTCATACGTGGGATCAGTTCAAGTCCACCCTAGTTTGGGGATTTCAGGGGGTGTCGGCCGTTGGGTGGTTCGATGGAATCATCTTTCCAAGATTCCTTTTGAGTCTCTCTCCCCTCTCCCGGGGAGACCTAAGTGACCAGTTTTGGCAGTGAGCAAGTACAGTACAGTACAGTGTGTGTGTGTGTGTGTGTGTCTGCGTGTGTGTGTGTGTGTGTGTTCTCTGCTCTGGTGGAGGACTGTTGTACTTTTTCGGGCTCTTGTTTCTGGCCTCCGTCCGTGCTTGTTCTAGCCATTGTGGACGGCCTGGGGTGTCCCCAGCCGTCCATGCCAACAGTGCCTGAGGTGGGGTATTCACCGACAGGAGACTTGGTCGGATAGTTACAATGCCGACACTCTCCTCGTCGCCCCACCTCAGAGTCCTTCGCGAGGCCTTGCAAGCCCGCGAGTGGAGCAAACTACCGCACGAAGACGACAACTTGGAACGACTCTGAGCATTGGCTCATGGAATGTTTGCTCTGTTGTGGAGAGTGATGGACCAGTTCGAGCGGCCGCCGTGAGAGGAATCGTTTCCGACGATAAGAAAATCTTTCAAATAGTTGAACATCTTGACAATGTATGTGTTCTCTGCTCTGGTGGAGAACGGTTGTACTTTTCCGGGCTCTTGTTTCTGGCCTCCGTCCATGCTTGTGCTCGCCGTTGTTGACGGTCTGGGGTGTCCCCAGCCGTCCAGGCCAACAGTGCCTGAGGTGGGCTATTCACCGACAGGAGACTTGGTCGGATAGTTACGATGCCGACACTCTCCTCGTCGCCCCCACCTCGGAGTCCTTGGCGAGGCTTTGCAAGCCCGCGAGTGGAGCAAACTACCGCACGAAGACGACGACTTGGAACGACTCTGAGCGTTGGCTCATGGAATGTTCGCTCTGTTGTGGAGAGTGATGGACCAGTTCTAGCGGCAGCCGTGAGAGGAATCGTTTCGGATGATAAGCCAGATCCATAGCTGCTGGAGATGGCTCTCTTGAACATGGTCCCGCTCGTCGTTCTATATTGTCGGCCCCGTAAGGGGACACATGACCGTAATGGCAGTGTTTACCAGGACCAGGTGTGTGTGTGTGTATGTATGTGTGTGTGTGCATGTGTGTGTCTGTGTCTGTGTGGATACTATATTGCAGGCACAGCCACTGCCGCCTGCTACTTATCCACTATGCGACTCTTTGCCAGAGGAGCTAATCAAGTCCGGTTAGTTGCGCCTTGTTGATGAGCCTTTGGCGACTGACCATATTGCTATTTTTGTAACCTGCAGTGCCTGTATTAGGGATAGCAGTGTGTTATAGAGTTGTCAACTGTGTCAATGAAACTGTGCACTGTTCCGTTCTCTACTTTTCCTGTATGACAGGTCGCCTCAGTGCTTTGCAGCTGGAAGGCATTTTGTACGCTGTGAGTATCAAGTCTCTTTGTGAGTATCAAGTCTCTTTGTGACATTCAGAACACTGCCTATATAGTACTGTCTGGCGCCGAAGAACGGAGTGCCGAAGAGCGAACAGCCCAGAATTTCACCAAGCACAGCATACGAAAGTACACGCGGCGACTCAACTGTGCATAAACTGCAGTACATGAACATAAGAACGATATAGTCTACGGGGCTGCCCCCCCCCCCCCCCCCCCCCCCCAGTGCTTCGGCAACCGACAGCACTGTATAGGGCCTGAGGGTAAGCATTAGGTCTTGTCCTTGTAGCACTATGGAGTTCAGTGCAAGACTAGCAGAGGGTAAGCATTAGGTCTTGTCCTTGTAGCACTATGGAGTTCAGTGCAAGACTAGCAGAGGGTAAGCATTAGGTCTTGTCCTTGTAGCACTATGTAGTTCAGTGCAAGACTAGCAGAGGGTAAGCATTAGGTCTTGTCCTTGTAGCACTATGGAGTTCAGTGCAAGACTAGCAGAGGGTAAGCATTAGGTCTTGTCCTTGTAGCACTATGTAGTTCAGTGCAAGACTAGCAGAGGGTAAGCATTAGGTCTTGTCCTTGTAGCACTATGGAGTTCAGTGCAAGACTAGCAGAGGGTAAGCATTAGGTCTTGTCCTTGTAGCACTATGGAGTTCAGTGCAAGACTAGCAGAGGGTACGCATTAGGTCTTGTCCTTGTAGCACTATGGAGTTCAGTGCAAGACTAGTTACCCTGCACAGATATTCGGCTGATGCCAGCTGGCGTAATATCACCCCGTCTTGGATGGGCGATCATATGGTTCAAGTCCATTGTTGTCTTTGCTGCACTCAGGCACCATGCAGAAAACTCTTCTTCATCGCAGGAAAATAAATACCATCTCTCCGGTACTCGGAAAGGCTCTGAAGTTGACCACGCCATTGCTTCAATTTCTTCTCACTGCAAATGAGTCTATAGTAATGAAATAACAGTCATGGTGGCGCCGCATAGAAATGCTGCTACAGGTTTCACGAAACCAAGAACTAAGGAGATGATTTGGAACCACAGGTGCAAGTGCATGCAGCGCACTAATGCCGTCTAGATCTTGTAGTGGACACATAGTCAAGTCAGAGCCAGAAGTCGCGATACATGTACAGCAGGTCCAGGTGCATTTCACGCACCGATCTCTCAATACACGTACGTGTTCTGAGCGCGGGCGCTTTTATAAAGTTTCATCCTGTTTTGGGCGAGCAGGTCCGGCCAAGCCTAGCTGCTTCACTTGCGAATTTTACGGTACAGCGTTACGCGCCTGCGTGCACGAGCAATGCTTGTCAAGCAGTATGAAATTTGCTTTTTTGTGTGCCAAGCTTTCGAGAACGTTTGTCACTTTAGAGTATACATTGCTTGAAAAGGGCCACTGTGATGAAGATATGCCAATCGTTACCAAGAAGAAAGTCCTACCGTGGTCCCTTGATAGGCCGGCGTCATTTGTGCTACGGAAATTTTGGTGGATTAGGGAGAGTGCTGGATTAACAAATCTGATGTACTGTGGCAGCAGGCATGAATAGGACATTTTTGGCTGCTGGAAACTAAGCTGGTTTATAGAGGGTGCTGGATTAAAGAGGCTCGACTGTATATTGTATCTGGCTGTCTATTTGTCTATCCATACCGGCAGTGCCAACGCCATCAAGTGCTGCTTCCAAGTGGGCACCGGGCAGGTTTCTTCATCGGTGATGGTGCTGGTGTGGGTAAAGGTAGACAGGTAAGCCACAGCACTTCTGCATCATACCGTGCTACAACTGTAGCACTGTTGACTGTGCATCATACTGCACTACATATAGCTCTGCTCTCCCTCTCTCTCTCTCTCTCCTCTCTCTCTCTCTCTCTCTCTCTCTCTCTCTCTCTCTCTCTCTCTCTCTCTCTCTCTCTCTCTCTCTCTCTCTCTCTCTCTCTCTCTCTCTCTCTCTCTCTCTTGCTTTCTCGCTTGCTCGCTACCACAAGTGCCTCAAGTGTAGCCTTGTATGGTGTACTTACTCGTATTTAGTGCGGCTTGATTGTGAGTGACTGTCAGTCGTTCAATGCTCTGTGATACAGTGTTCCTGTGTTAATCCGGCACCAATGTGCAAGGGTAGTTCTGCTGGATTAGGGACGGTACTGGACAAACACACCTGATGAACTGTTGTAGTGTGCATGAGTTACACATTGATTCCTGAAAATCATTATAGTTTGTTGAGGGTGCTGGCTTATAAAGTGCTGGATTAACGAAGGACAGTTACATTTGTGGTGTCGTATTGCTCGTTTATTATCCCTTCTCCTGTAGAATTATTGGCGTAGGGTTCATAACCTTCCTCGCACTCTTTTTGATGTCTATCTGCACATTCAGATTGCAGGCATTATTCTTGACAACTACATAAGAAATCGCCGCCGTCATATCTGGTTCAGTATATCAGGTGATCTGTGCCTGGATGCCCAGCGGTAAGTACTCAGTCATTAGAATGATAACTAAGATGAATGACATGAGCTTATGTGTGAATTTTTATGGACAGTCAAATCTCGCTTATCTGGTCCTCTTTCATCCGGATCCCTCGCCATCTGGAAGAAAATCTCTGGTTACCGAATTAAACCGTATGCCATGCATGCCTACAGTATGTGTGTTTGATTATCCGGTTCCCTGGCCTATCCGGATATTTTTGTGAAAAATGGATGTGTGCGGTTATGCGAGGTCTGACTGTACAAATACAAATAGCATGTGAACTGACTGTGTTTTGTGTGGAAACTGGTGTTGGCTAAGACTTGTGCCCAACCCATGACCAACCACATGAGGAACACAGGTCCTACCAAGGCATGGGGACAGTTTATTTGCGTGTGTGCATGCGCGAGGATGTGTGTGTGTGTACGTGTGTGTGTACGTGTGCGTGTGTGTGTGTGTGCACGAGCGTGCATGCATGCATGCATGCAGTGATGTAACCGACTTGGGATGCTACTTGAAAGTAATCAGTGGCTGCCAGCAACTGGATAAGGAGACAAGGTACGACCATGTTATGTACTCTATTCTTTGAGTGTGTGTGTAGTATTCAATACATATTAACTGTATTACCTAGATGTAATGAGAAATAGAGATGGATTCAGAGTTCAACTCAAAGAATCATATGTGATTGATGCAGGCCAATGTTATTGCGCTCTTTGTCTAAGCAGATCGCCCGTCACAACATGCAGTACCAAGAGTACATAACCCCCCAGAGTGTGCAACTCCACTATGGGTGCTGTCCCGACAGAATGATTGCAAAGAAAAACGTGTGATGCGTTGACACCCGTACACATGTTGTAAATCACTGGTGCAAGGAGCATTGCGTCATAAATAATGACGTCAACTTGAAATTCTGTCGGGACAGCCGGGTATGTGGGAGTTGCACACTCTGGGGGGTTATGTACTCTTGGCAGTACTAGTAAGCTGTGAAGTGTTTCTATTGAATGTGCTTTTACGAAACTCTGTACTAATGTGCTTATGGTATCTATGTCTCCAGAGCGTTTGGTCTGCCATCGGACTTCAAGGAAGGCATCGTCTTCAGTACATATGCCACGCTGGTATCGTCAGTCGCTAAAGGCAGTATGTTAAGCTCCGGTGTCATATTCAGCTGTCTTGTTTCTGTGTGTTGCTGTGTGCTGTCAGGGACTGGGGACATGTCCTGTCCTTATATTGAATAATTTGTAATTCTCTGTGGAAATAGAAACGAGATATTGCACTGCTCATTGATGACTTGATTGATGCTTTATGAGCTCTCGTATTTACTTGTAGGACAATAAGCCGTTCTCCTACATCTCTTGTAATCATCTCTTCCCTAATTTCTCTCTCTCTTTCTCTCTCTCTCTCTCTCTCTCTCTCTCTCTCTCTCTCTCTCTCTCTCTCTCTCTCTCTCTCTCTCTCTCTCTCTCGTCCACTCTGTGTAGGTTCAGCACTTAACTCTAAGCAGCAGACTCGTCTTGAGCAGCTCATTTCCTGGTGTGGTGGCAAGGACTTTGAGGGCTGTCTGATTTTCGACGAGTGCCACAAGGCAAAGTACTACACGCCGGTAAGTCATCTCTTCTGCTCACTGATAAGTTAACACTGAGCTTACTTGTTCCGCTTCTAGTCAGCTGTGCTTCGGGGAAATGCATATGTTTAGACTGCAGTTGTTCTTCACAGCCGGGTTGTGGTTGATGTTGATATTGCTGTTGTTCTTGTCTGTGTTATCTGCTGTTTGTCTTCAGGACAACGAGAAAGCAAGCACTAAAGTCGCTGTTGCTGTTGCTTCTATCCAGAGGTAAGTTCTCTCTCTCTCTCTCTCTCTCTCTCTCTCTTTTCTTTCTTCATCTCTCTCTTTCTTACTCCCTCCCTTTACCCTCTCTCTCACTCTCACATATTCACGGACACACACACACAGTCACCCCCACACGCACGCACACACACACACACACACACACACACACACACACACACACACACACACACACTTCGAGCCCTGGTGGTGACAGTCAATTTTTCTTTAGGCTTTTTCCCGTTTGCATATTTCCC